GGGATATAACAGAAATTTGTTCTGCATGCTTGAAAGATTACTCTAGCTATGTGACTTTGAACAATACTGGGTGACATAAATATCAAAATGGTTTACAAATTATGTAAGTACACCTAGAAGGCTTTACTTCATTAGTTCCAGGTTTACTGTTGTGATATCGTGAGATCTTATATTGTGACTTTATTTTAGGCCTGTGTAAGGCGGTAATTAATTCTTTATTTATTGTCATTAACTGAGTAACTAGTCACAAAACAAATAAATAAAACATTTCAGGTTGCTGAGAACCCTTGCTACGCCACTGAACATCTACAAGTGATGATAAAGAACTCATGTGGTCCAGCACTCACAGCTAGACACTTAGGTGTTAAGAAATCTAGAGAGAGTGAGAGAGTGCTTCTATTGGGTTGGATGCTGAGGATATGTAGAGAATTTGTGTAAATTCTCTGAACTATACTGTGAGCATAAGGATCTATCGCAAGGTAATTATTTTCAAGAAACAGAACTAAATGCTTGCTCTAAAATTTAATTATCCAAAAAATCCCATTTCACGTTATATTTCTTAGAAAATTATTTATGAAAAATTGGAAAATACAGCTCTGATATAACTTTATCAAACCTGGGTATATGCTCTGGAATATTGTCTCAAAACTTTAATGAATCATATTGTTACGACAGCGGGGGTCACGTGACGCTAGTAACGCGTCATATTCTCGAACGTTCACGTCCCTTCCTGAAGTCTCGAGAGGATACTAAATTTCGGTATTCTTGTACCTATAAGACGGTCAAGACGTGACGGCAACAATGGGTAATTAAACTGCGGACAGAGAGAGACGTATTGTTGAGCGAGCACGTGAGACGTTCTTGTGAATTATAGCGTTTCTTATAGCGCGACTGTGGAAATTAAGTGTATTGCAAAGTTGTATTCAGAAAGAATAAGCTAGTTTTATTTAAGAAAGGACTTGTGTCGCTAAAGTTTCATCGGAAAGAAATTATACGGAAAATTAATTAACGACCAAAGACGTAACAATATTTTAGACGAAAAACCCTTATTGATATTTATAATTGCGTCCTTATACTACACAGTAAAAGCGTGGATGAAAAAAATGTCAATTGATTCATCTAGGGCACTTAACAACATATTCGCTTTAAAAGTTTGTTTGTTTGTATTTTAGAATTTCGCGCAAAGCTACACAAGGGATATCTAGAGGAAAGGCAGCTAGTCATCACCACCTACCGCCAACCCTTGGGTTACTCTTTTACCAAGAATAGTGGGAATGACCGTCACATTATAATGCTTCACGGCTGAAAGGGCAAGCATTTTTGGTGGGACGAGGATTCGAATCCTCGACCCTCATATTGCGAGTCGAGCTTCTTAACCATTTGGCCATGCCGGGCCCACACTTCAAAAGAAAAATAAATTAAGATCAGAAAAAAGTTTAAATATTTAGTCATTCTTCCTCTAAGCTAAACTAAGTCACAAAAGAACACAAGCTATCAGAATAAGTTCTTTCAATAAACCATTCACCTGTTAAACACCAAACTAAGCTTAATTATGACATTTTTATAAATACGAAATTATATTGTAGCAACCGGTTATAACTAAAACGATTTTTTAACGTATGGATAGTTCGTTATTTCAACAATAGAGAGAATAAGAATTTATAGACGTAGAAATGGAGGGTAAATTGGTAAAATCTGTGAAAGCTGCACTTGAAAAACATCCAAAAATTCATGATAAACAAATCCAGTATGGAACTGCAGGCTTCCGAACCAAGTATGTTTAAATTTTAATTCATCATCAAATACTTAATGCGAACATATATTCCTAATTTTACTAAATATACGTTGAATGTCGATTGTTTGGAACTTCAACTTAGCGTTTGCCGTATTGGTTCTGACGTAAAAGCTGGAGCATTTTCGCTGTATCTTGAACTTGAAGCTTGTCAGACCACATGAGTGAAGCTGCTTGACGTTAATAAATATAATATAATGTAATCTAGAATAATCTTTTTCATGATATGTGGATTTAATCCTTGGTTTGTGATATTAGTGTTAATGTATTCAAAAGAATCAAAGTGAATAATAGGTAACATGAAAAAATAGACGTTTTGAAATTCAAGTATTTTTGGGGGGGGGGAACAATTATAAAACATTTGAAACATGAATGATTAAGTTGCAAAACTATACTTTTTCTTACAAAGTTACTAGATTTTTAAAGGAGTAAGTAAGTAGAAATTTTTAACATAATTATTAAGTTATATTTATGTGCATTTTTCAAAAATCTTGCCTTTAATTTTTAAATGAGTTTAATTTATAACATCTCTCATTTCAATATAAAATGAAAGTGAACTAATTATTTTACTTTTAAGTTTATGAGAATAATTTGAAATTACTGTATTTTTTGGAATATAAGATGCACCCTTATTTCAAAGACAAAGTTTTGGGAAATAAAAAGCTACAGTCGCATTTGAAAGATTTTTATTGAACAAAAATTCAATTTGATACTTTAAAAATTAGCATATATTGTTCTAAACACAAAAGAGCTAAAAAAATCAAAATAAGAAAATACTGTAAAAAAAGGTTTACTGTTATTTAGTTTTGTTCAAACCTACAAAATCTTCATTGCTTTCACTGTAATTTATTTTTTATTTATTTAGTAGAGCATTATAAATAGTTATGTTTTTAAAAGAAAAAAAACTAACTATTGTTATAAATAACACATTC